GTGTCATTGGCAAACTTACTGAGCACATTATATGTGGTAATGTACCTTCTGGTGTACGTGGACTTAGAAGTTGACCTAGAAACAAAATAGGCACCTAATGACTGTCTAGGAAATCACAACAGCCCTCCCTAAAAGACTGCTGAATAGCAGGAACCCTCACAAATAATTTTTTATTTTCATCTAGTTTAGGCTCCGCTTTGAATGCTGTCATAGCAACAGAGAAAGGGTGGTTTGTTAAATGCATGCATGTTGTACTGAGGTGTGGGAGGTTGCTGGAGCTGTGCTTGTCAAAGGGCAAGCAGGATGATGCTGAAGGAGTGGTTCTCGAGTGCCTTTCGGCACCTGTCAGCAGTGTGATGGGTGAAACGGGCTTTCACCAACTGCCTGTCTCCTCTTCCCTTGTGCTGCGCAGGTTGAATGATCCGAAGATGTCGGAAGCAGAGCGCCAGTCAATGGAGAGCGAACGGGCAGACTGCAGCCTGTTTGTTCAGGAGCTTCTACTGTCCACTTTGATGCGGGAAGAAAGTTCCTCCTCAGATGAGGATGAGCGGGGGGAGATTGCAGATTTTGGTGCTATGGGCTGTGTAGATATTATGCCTCTAGATGTTGCTTTAGAAAACCTAAATTTAAAAGAGAGTAATAAAGGAAACGAGCCTCCTCCACCTCCTCTTTGATGACATCCCCCTTTGCAGACAATGTCCTCTGTGCTGTATTTGCCAATGAAAGTGGACAACAACTATCTTGGGTTTGTTTTGGTGATTGTAATTTCAGGTCTGTCACTCTTGTTACATTGTGTACATTCAAAAGAAAGAGAGAAAAGATATATATGATAATCATTTCCACTTAACTAATTTTTACTTCTAGCAGGTAAATGTAGGTTGCAGTGCAGAGCAAAAAGCTCTGTGTCCTGTACCTTGACATGCAAAAGGCTCTCCTAATACTCCACATTCAAACTGAAGAGGAAAAAAATGAAAAATCTCTAATGAAGCTGCTGTGTGTATTTATGAATATTAATGAATAAAAACTGCTTGGATGGTTTACCTTAACTACTGCATGATGTTTTTTGCAGCGTGCATGAGTTTTAGTGACCTTGTCATTTAAAAATTTAAATACAAGGAGTAAAACTATAAAACCCAAAGCTTTCCCATTATTCAAAGGTTACGTGACAAAAAGGTTAGCGCTGACTAGCAGTTTGTGGCCATGAAGTACCTTTTGAATAATATGTGACGAAATGACATCTTTATGTGCTGTTCCTGCACAGGATGGAAACTCTGCAGTGGGATATTACTGTTGTGACCAGGGTGTGACATTTTGCTGTATGTGACCCTTATGTTGCCCTGTTAGCCATCACCTCAGTGTGGAGTTGAACTTCATTTTATGGATCTGTAGGAGACACACCAGAAAGGCCACTGCTGGAAGCTACTGCAAGGCACTTTTGTGTGCCCTAAAAGCAAATGATGTTCACTTTTGTTTAAAGTTTTTTTCCTTTTTGTGGTTGTTAATTTTTTTAATTGTTAAATATGTTTTATTCAGGTGTAGACAATTCATATATTCACTGTGTTAAAAAAGTTAACCTGGATCATGGTTGTCTTAGTTTAAAAAGCCTTTCACAGTCTCAGTCCTATTTTGAGTTATTTATGTATTTGCTTCATAGTTTGCAGAGACCTGTCAGTATCAGGAGATTTGGATTCCCAGATTGTCAGCATACCACAATTGAATTGTTAATGCTAACTTTGGCACCTTTTATTTATTATTTCTTTTGGTTATTTTTGCTGGTATAAAAAAGTTGAAAAAGCCTTTTAGTGGAATCGTGCCACCTGTATGCCTGTACTGTTAATCCTACTGGTTTGGAAGAAAAGAGTATGTTGTTCTTGGGCATAGAAGTTTATTGTAGCCCTGAGACAAGGACAGAAGGGGTATGTCTGGTTTTTGTTTCTTTTCTTCTTTTTTTGGTGGGTTTTTGAATGTAAAGTTAGATTATAAAAACAAAAGTGCACACAGCTTCTGATGAAAATTTAAACTAGGCTTAATCATAATGTGTCTTTCCAGATCTTTCTCACCTCACCACCTCTCTTTCTCTGTATCCTTCCATCTCTGCAGCATTGCTAGCGTTTTCGAGTAAACTTACAGACTTGAACGCCAGATGGTGTTCTCAGCAGAACTGTGACATGTATGCTAATCCAAAAATAACAGCTGCAAAAGAAGCAACCCTATAGACTGAAGTTGAAATCCCATTCCTTTCTTTTTTCTTTTTTTTTTTTTTAATCCTCGAATCCTGATTGTTTCCACACAGAGCAGTACTAACTTTGTTTTCTTTTAGTCTCTGCAACAGAACATGTTTCAAGGGAAACTTTACACAAGGCCTCTGGTTATACTGAGAGTTACCCCCAGTAGGGAGTTTTTTATTGATTGTTGAGGATTTTCAAAAATTTTTCAAGCTGTAGTCTTTTCAAACACATCTTCTGCACATTACAATAAGACACACGGTTCAATAAAGCATTTTCAAGACTGTTGTTCAGTTTATTTTCTTTGGGTTTGATGTATTATCCAAGCAGTTTTAGTTCCAGAAATTTCTGCAGCTCTATACAAAATCAGTTCATGTAGAAATCCCAGCTGATTAAAACATGTTTTTTGTAGAACTTACATACTTTGACAAGTGATGAAGTATGTAATGCTAAACTGTTCACAGGTAGGTGAATTCAGGTTTCCGTAGAACAAGATGCATTTGAAATAGGCTCTTCTCTGTGGTGTTACTTAGAATTGCTGTGAAGAAGATGCAAACCAATATTATCTGTGTTAATTTAGAGACTGAATACGTGCTGACTTGCATTTAAAGGTATTTTTGGCTATCACATTAACTCTTACAAATCTTAATGTTGTTTGGGGTTTTTTTTTAGGTTCAGAAATAACATGGCTACTTGGAAGGTGTCCTAGTAGTCTGCCAATTGTTATTTGCAGGGAAATGTTTTTCCTTCTCAGAGTAAGCTTTATCAGGACAGTATTTTTTTAGGGGTATTTCCAAAACATTTCTATGTATTTTCTGGGCTAAAATGAAAACAGCCTTCAGGAACGTTGCAGGAGAATCTTGTGAGGGGTTACTGCATTTTCCCTGTGGGGGGAAAAACAAAAATGACCAACCAACCAACCAAAACCAGGTCCCAGCACACAGCCTTATTATTGGGGTGCAGTGACAGCCATACAGGACACCAGTGGGGGTTTGGGGGCAGCGGGGGGAGGCCAGGGGTGGGGTGTGATGCTGGCTGCACCCTGCCTGCCTGGGGGCTTGGAGTTGGGCTGGGGCAGGCGCTGCATGTGAGGCTGTGTCAGCTTTCTGGGGGAGGGGGCAGGCAGAAGGGTGTGTAGTTGTTGCCAATATTTTACAGCTGTTGGAGGGATGTGCACATGTGTTTGAAAGTGTTGGGGAACAAGTCCTGCCAGCCTGTTGCTGGAAAACTGGCTTGGAATGGCACTGTGTTCTGTTTGTAATTTGTCATCTGCCTTTTTCAGGGGTCTGTGTTACACAGACACTTGGACAGGGTGGTGTCATAGACAAAATGCTTTTTAACTTCCATCCACCTTGGTTGTTACAACCCCTGTCTTGAACTCCCTGGGATGTTCAGCGGGAGGGGGTTGGTTGTGTTCCGGGGTTTCTTTCCTTCCTCTGCCCTTATCTGTGGAAGGGTTTTAAGCCCTCCGTACTTGGTGGGAGTTGGGCTCCCAGGTAGCTTGTGGGCACTGGGGCTGCATGCATGTTTTGTGGTTTTGAGATGCTTGTCTGTTGGGAAGGAGTAAAGGCAATTCTCTCACTGGCTAGAAGTCCCAGGAGGCAGAGTGCTCTGCTGCCTCTCAGGCCCTCAGAAGTCCTGATGGAGGGAAGCAGTGGATTTATTTGGTGGGTGAAGTTTTTTCAACTACATCACTTAATCTTTTCCCTCACACACCTGACTTTCATTGCTGGATCTGCCTGCTTTGCCAAATAAATGTGACACCTTGCTTTTTTGAGGCCACTTTATTCTTTTAGCTCCTAAGAAAAAAGGAACTTGGTATGTGTGCCTAGCACTGGTGAAAACTCCCCTCTGTGACACTGTGTCCTGTGCTGAAGGGTGGCAGTCTTGCTGTCCTTGCAGCAGGTCTGGGACAGCTGCCCTGCCACGGTGCTGCTGGATAGAAATACGCTGGGCTCTGCTTTGTGGCATGAAGGAGCTAAAGACATGCCCCCTCTGTGCACAAGTGTATTTGCAGCTATTTATGTGCACAGTGTTTTGCACATAAGTAACTTTGAGCACAATAAAATAGGAACTGTAAAGGGGAACTGTGCAGCTTCAAGTTTGTGCTTCCACCACACATCCCTTTAACTCAGCACTGGCTGTTGCCTACTGCAAGAAGATCTACTGTAACACAAGGATAAAGACTCTTAGGAATACAGGGGGGTGTGTAGGAGGTAGCAGTGGAAGACAACCTGCAGTGCTGCCTCCTCCCTTGTGGGCTAGCAACAGTGGAGGGGTGGGCACACTCCCCCTGTCCCTTCCCCACACCAATCCTGTGTAAGGAAGGGGTTAAATGGTGTAGGGAGGTGACCTTGGCCTTGTGGGAGTTGATGTGGAGGAGGCTGAGGGACACAAAAGGGATGGGGGACACTGGGAGAAGGGCCACTGATGTGGGTCTCTCTGCTCTGGGGGGTGGGAGGGGCTGGGAAGGAAAAAAAACCAGTAAAGGAAGGAGAGGGTGGCAGTGGGGAAACAGGACAGTAGAGGGGCTGGTGGTTGGAGGCAGGAGAGGCTGAAGTAACCACCACAGTGTAGACGAGTGACCAGTGGGACTGAGGGGTGGGCAGAGTGAATAAACGTCAGCTGGAGGTGAGGCTCTGCAGCTCCCTGCCTCCACATGGCACTGCCCCTTGCTCAGGAGAGAGAGTCAGCCACCACTTCTGGGGTTCTCCTGCTCTCCCCAGGCAGCAAATGCCTCATCCAGCCCCACCCCATTACTGCCACAGCAACGCTGCAGCCCATGGCAGTACCTATCTGCATGGGCAGGCTGGGCTGAGCTGGCATCAGGGGATGCAGGCAGTGCATCCTCCCATGTTCGCTCTCCTAGTCCTCCTACAGAGCAGCCCCTGCACACCTGCAGCTGGGTCTGTGCGTTTCCTCAGCCCCAGCACCATGCATGGCACTCATGGGCTAAGCATCACTGGCTGGCTGTTGCCTTCTCCCTCACAGCTAATGTTTACCCATGGTCTGACACCACCGCCTCCTCCCACCACAGACAGCTAGGCTGCTTGTCAATGCAGAAAGGAAGGACAATTGTTTCTGTCCCTATTAGTGCTGGTTCCGCCCCCCCCCCCCCCCCCCCCACCCACCCACTCACACTTCCACACAACCTGTCCCCTCAGAAGGGAACCATGTGAAGCAATGCCTGCTGTGAGGGGGCAGGCAGAGCAGATGCTGTCCCCGCAACATCAGGAGGTTTGTGGTTTCTGGTGTATGGCTGCTGCCTCCTGGCCACCCACCCTTGTGCAGCCCAGGAAACGCATTTCCCAGATGCCAGTTGTGTATCTATGCATCAGACAGACATGCTGACACAAAAGCAGCCCAGGTGGGGCTGTGCTCTATAAAAAGTACCATTTCTTTTTTCCTGGCTGTTGTGTCATGTACATTTAAAGGCAAGGTTTGTAATTATCCATGTTATTCCTGCTCCACTGAAGTCCCTGCAGATGCCCCCACCAGCCACTGTCACCTCAGCAGCAGCGCAGCACTTCAGGCTCAAAACAGTGACTTTAACATGAACTGTCCATTGGCCTCAGCTTATAACCAAGTACTAAATAAAGGAAAAACAGGCATTTACATTTTATATAAGCGTTTATTTACAACTTGTTTAACAACTGTACACTCTTCTGTCACCTTAGAAGCATTAGTGTATTTGGGAAAAAAAATTAAACGTTTTGATTCCAATGATCATTACTGAGTATTTTTTTTGTCTATATACAGATATGTATATTAATACTGCTACCATGACAATCTGGTAGTTACACAACTCGTAGATGAACTGA